TTGTGCAGAGTAACGTCCGCTGGTGAGGCTATTTATAGATCTTTACCGTGGCGTTGCTTGCACGGACATTTGTCGTGAGGGAGACTTGCTTTAAGACAAATAGGGTCCTCCAGACACAAAAAAATAGGGTCCTCCAGACAGAAATAAATAGGGTCCTCCAGACAGAAATAAATAGGGTCCTCCAGACAGAAATAAATAAGGTCCTCCAGACACAAATAAATAGGGTCCTCCAGACAGAAATAAATAGGGTCCTCCAGACAAAAACAAATAGGGTCCTTCAGACACAAATAAATAGGGTCCTCCAGACAGAAATAAATAGGGTCCTCCAGACAAAAACAAATAGGGTCCTCCAGACAAAAACAAATAGGGTCCTCCAGACAAAAACAAATAGGGTCCTCCAGACTCCAGACAAAAATAAATCGGTCCTACAAACAGCAATGAATTTGGTCACGAATGTATTGGATCATCCAGACAGAAACGTTTTGGGTCCTTCAGACAGCAAAGATGTGGGTCCTCCAGACAGTTCTGAATGCAGACAGGTCCTGTTACTTACTTCCGGTAATACATTTTTTTCTTTTGTTACATTTAATACACACCCCCCACCCCCAACCGACCAACTGTTCATATTGCCAAATAAAAAGCGATACTATCCAAGTAAATTATCCCATTTCTTTGTGACAGCTATAATATCCCAGTCATTGAACACATTTGTTGTTGACAGCTACAATATCCCAGTCATTGAACCCATTTGTCTGTGACAGCTATAATATCCAGTCATTAAATCTATTCGTTTATGCCATGTATATTATCCCTGACATTGAATCCATTTGTTTGTGACAGTCATAATATCCCAGTAATTGAATTCATCTGTTTGTGACAGCCATAATATCCCAGTAATTGGATTCATCTGTTTGTCACAACTATATTATCCCTGTAATTGAACCCATTTCTTTGTCACAGCTATAATATCCCAATCATTGAACACATTTGTTTATGAATGCTATAATATCCCAGTCATTAAACTAATTTATTTGTGACAGCTATAATATCCCAGTCATTGAGCCCATTGTTTGTGACAGCTATAATATCGCTGTAATTGAACCCATTTCTTTGTCACAGCTATAATATCCCAATCATTGAACACATTTGTTTATGAATGCTATAATATCCCAGTCATTAAACTAATTTCTTTGTGAAAATTATAATATCCCAGTTATTGAATCCATTTCTTTGTGACAGCCGTAATATCCCAGTCATTGAACCCATTTGTTTGTGACAGCTTTAATATCACAGTTATTGAATCAATTTGTTTGTGACAGCTTCAATATCCCAGTCAGTGAACCCATTTGTTTGTGACAGCTATAATATCCCAGTCAATGAATCCATTTCTTTGTGACAATTATAATATCCCAGACATTGAACCCATTTATTTGTGCCAGGTATATTATCTTAGTCATTGAATCCATTTCTTTGTGACAGCTATAATATACCAGTCATTGAACCCATTTGTTTGTGACAGCTATAATATCACAGTTATTGAATCAATTTGTTTGTGACAGCTTCAATATCCCAGTCATTGAACCCATTTCTTTGTGACAGCCATATATCACAATCAATGAAACCTTTATTTTGTGACAGCTATAACATCCCAGACATTGGACCCATTCCTGTGTGACAGCTATAAGGCAGCATAGTGATCATGGTTGATTTAAGATGCATACTCGCAAATGAAAGTCTGGGGACAAGACGCATTGTGCCCATGGTAAACCATATCTCCAGTGGTACTCACTCCATGCTAAATTAAAGGGCCTACATTATAATTGTATGATCTTATCAAAGGGCCAATCGTTTCTATGGCGATTGTTTGGTGAGTTGTCCCACCGGGCTCCCTATCAACCAATTCACTTTTCTTTGATCTAGTTTGAAATTGTATTGCTTATTGTTACTTACGCCCCTTGAGGGTAAAAATAATAGGATATTGTGCAATGAATATAATTAGCGTATCCGGAAATTTGATCGAAAGAAATTAATTTTGTTTTATTATATAGTATAGTGCGTTCAAAAAGAAATGTAACGAACATTTTAATGTGTGAACTAAAAAAAAAAAGAAGAAAAGATTCGACCAAATTTCCGTTCGATCAAATTACCGTCTATCAATTTACAGTCGACGAAATTTCTTTCGATCAAATTTCTGGTAACCATATAATTAGATCATTGTTTTAACTATTATGTCTTGACTCTATTGTGAAAGACAAGGAAACAACAGGAATATCAGATTTAATTTTTTTTTTTTTTAAATTAATGCCACGTTTAGTCATAATGAAACTTATTGAAACCGAAGCGATGGCCAGCTATGTTTGGCATTTTGTGTGCAACATATACGTTGTGTCTTGCTGCTGTTCATATCTTGTGTTGCCGGTTTGCTGTTGATTGCTTGTGCTGCCGGTTTGCTGTTGATCTCTTGTGTTGCCGGTTTGCTGTTGATAGCTTGTGTTGCCGGTTGGCTGTTGGTCTCTTGTGTTGCCAGTTTGTTGTTGATTTTTTGTCTTGCCAGTTTGTTGTTGATCTCTTGTGTTGCCAGTTTCTTGTTAATCTTTTAGTTTGCAAGTTTGTTGTTGGTTTTTTGTGTTGCCTGTTTGTTGTTGATCTCTTTTGTTGTCAATTAGCGGTTGAACTCTTGTGTTGCAAGTTTGTTGTTGAGCTCTTGTGTTGCCAGTTTGTTGTTGATCTTTTATGTTGCAAGTTTGTTGTTGATTTTTTGTGTTGCCAGTTTGTTGTTGATCTTTTATGTTGCAAGTTTGTTGTTGATTTTTTGTGTTGCCAGTTTGTTGTTGATCTTTTATGTTGCAAGTTTGTTGTTGATTTTTTGTGTTGCCAGTTTGTTGTTGATGTTTTATGTTGCAAGTTTGTTGTTGATTTTTTGTGTTGCCAGTTTGTTGTTGATGTTTTATGTTGCAAGTTTGTTGTTGATTTTTTGTGTTGCCAGTTTGTTGTTGATGTTTTATGTTGCAAGTTTGTTGTTGATTTTTTGTGTTGCCAGTTTGTTGTTGATGTTTTATGTTGCAAGTTTGTTGTTGATTTTTTGCGTTGCCAGGTGATTGTTGATCTCCTGTGTTGCCGGTTTTGTTTTCGTTTATAGCAAATGTTTTCCCCACATTGTTTATTTAACAAGATATTTTTGTTTTCAGTACCGCTGGGTTGTTTACGTTATTTAAACGAATAACTTCGTTGCCCTGACAGTCCCTACCTTACGGGTGATGACCCATAGGTTGTTTGTCAACCTTTTATAAAAATAGTATGAAAACTATTCTTCACATATTTTTTACTTCAACCCTTCAGCTGAAATCTAATAAACTCGTCATGACAACCTGGACAGAGACACACCCTTTGGAAAGCCAGATTTTACGTCGTCAGGTGCTTTGTTCTGTGAAGAGATTTTTAATCTGCTACTCGAACTAGAAACAACTCTCCAACCAATGGTTACGTCAGAGCGTGATCTTCTCTGCTACTAAAGTTTCTTGTCGCAACAGGCAATCAAATAACGCACTTTATAGGAATCCTCCCAACATAGTGGTAACTTCTGAGAATTTTAGTTTTCGCTCCTATTGAACACAGCGTTGCAACCTTACATCTTTGCCTAAGAGTTATTATTGTTTATATATAATTCACCAGCAAAGGTCAAACAAGACGGGTCAAACAAGACGCATGCTATTTATAGATACGCCAGAGTGTGGTTCAATAATGAGTTCACTAGCGCATAAAATATAATTCCAGATAACTACGCTAAATGATATATATATATTTTAAACGCAATTGCGTTTGGTGCGTAATATTTTCTTTTCGGAAATGAAATCGTCTCAATTTAAGTATGGTGTAAAAAATATTGGGTTTAAAAGTGGTTGGGACATGAGAATATTAATATAGTTCATGGGCGGGAAATGAAAAGTGTCCAGTGACGTATCATGGGGAAAGTGGTGTAGCAAATATTAGGATTCTTAAAAGTGGGTTACTTGAGTTCATGTTTTGTCAAGTAACTTTACTGTATGATTGGAAGTTCACTCATTGCTGTCGCCCATGTTTGGCGGGCTATATCTAGTTGGTTATATTTTAGGTTTCTTAAATTCTAATGTTATCTAAAAGAAATAAATAATAAAATAAAACATGAACGCTTTGTGTTCTTGAACTAACATGACACGCATCTATGACCAAACATTGAACACATGAACATTAGAATCACAAACATTCAAAAAATCATTTAGAGGCAGTCGCAGTTGGTGGAGAAAAAAAAAAAGGGGGGGGGCGGGGGGTCGATATAGTTATGGTAAATTCAGAGGTATGTGGTCAGCTAGTCACAGTTCACATGTTATGACATAGACGCAGTGGGTAGGGATTGATATAGTTCTGGAACATTCATTGAGTTGTGGTCAACTAGTCACAGACTATTTTGTTGGATTTGTTTTGTTGGATGCAAATGTTGACAACTTTGTTGGCATTTCTTAAACATACGATGACATGCAAACAACGATTTATTTTCCTCATTATGCTCCTATTTTTATCCAGTAGCCTGTTTTGCAGGAAAGACAGATCATATGTGTACAGATGACAAAGGTCCATATGTGTACAGATGACAAAGGTCCATATGTGTACAGATGACAAAGGTCCATATGTGTACAGATGACAAAGGTCCATATGTGTACAGATGACAAAGGTCAGTGGTCCATCAGGACGATGGAATGTCGGCTAAAGGGGACAACAAAAAACCCGGTGCTGATGTCCGGTAGACTAAAGGGCGGTAACAACACTTGAGGCTACACATAAATGTACCGTTAAATAAATATGTTAAAACACCATCTAATACCTGTAGAAAGGTGTAACTTAAGAGCGTTAGGTCAGGGACAAGACCAGGGTAATTAGCTGTTGTGTGCCAACACGATGTCACACGACAGTTTTACCCCTGCGTGGCTTAGGATTTAGTTATCATTAAAAACTATCTTCAAACGTGTTACGTTTGTCTAAAAAGGAAACGAAACAATACCAAAGATACACTTCTAGAAGACAACAAGGGCTTCCTGTGTCATGTAAGTGCTAACTATTCAATGATCCTTCTAAACTAATCAACACATGCTGGCATTTATAACAATTTATTATTGTACGAGATGCTTCCTTCATTAGAAACCAATGAATGTGTTTAGTATGATCTGAAGCAGTTGTGTTTATTATGTGCTACGTCCTGGTGTTTACCTTATAGTTGACTTGTCTGCCATATCCATCCTATTTGACTTGTCTGTAATTTCTCTCTAATTTCACTTGTCTACCATATCCCTCCTCTTTAACCCCTCTGACAAATCGCTCTTATTTGACTTGTCTGCCATATATTTCCTATTTGACTTGTCTGCCTATATCTCCTATTTGACTTGTCTGCCATATATCTCCTATTTGACTTGTCTGGCTATATCTCCTATTTGACTTGTCTGCCATATATATCCTATTTGAATTGTCTGCCATATATCTCCTATTTGACTTGTCTGCCATATATCTCCTATTTGACTTGTCTGCCATATATCTCCTATTTGACTTGTCTGCCATATATCTCCTAATTAACTTTTCTGCCATATATCTCCTATTTGACTTGTCTGCCATATATCTCCTATTTAACTTTTCTGCCATATATCTCCTATTTGACTTGTCTGCCATATATCTCCTATTTAACTTACGTCATCTTCCCAGCATCCAATGGCAGTACAGGCAAGCATCCTTACCATCCTCACCATCATTACCAGTCTGGCGCTTCATTTTATCAAAGGTACGTTTCAGGCAACTGGATAACAAATCATGAAAACAATCATTGACCTTTGACCTAACATTGGACGACACGTGCTGACAATGGGTTAACTCATGAGCTCTGTTATCCATTTCTCTGATGGGCTTCAACTTACTTAAATTGTTGCTCAAAGAGTAATACCAGGGCAGGGTGAAAGGGGGTATGATTCATAAGGTAATGTTCATGGTAAACTTACAGTGATGATATTTTCTGGATTCTATGTGGCATGTAAGACAATATGACAGATGAAACTTTCTACATGAAATGTTAAGGAAGCGGTCAGTATGACAGTTATTGAAAGACATGGCAGATATTTAGACCATTTACTGTAAACAGTTTCTTTAGATTATTTGAAGCTATAAACATCTCTTATCTTACAAACAGCTCAAGATGTTAGGCCTACAGCCGAATTAGGGACACCAATAGACGAAGATGGCCCGCGGACGGGTGAACCTTTTGTAACAACCATAAAACCTTTTGTAACAACCAAAAAACCTTTAGTGACAACCAAAAAACCTTTTGTGACAACCGGAAAAACTTTTGTGACAACCCAAAAACCAGTCGAAGCAACAGCCGTGCCTGGTTTCTCAACAGCCGGGGCCATTTTACCGGAAACAGAAGCCGGCATTTTTTATACGACGAAAACTTATTGGCCGGCAGCTGAATTTAATTTACTGAAAGACGATGCCGGTGTGTTGACAGCCGGTGTGTTGACAGCCGGTGTGTTAACAGCCGGTGTGTTGACAGCCGGTGTGTTGACAGCAGAGCTGGGTGTCCCCCCAGGGGACGAAATGGATGAAACGCCTGCCAAACCTGAACTGGTTATTCGTAATGTCACAAACAAAGCATCTTCTGGGTTAACAACGGAGGCTGATTCCGCTCGAACTGTGACAGTGTCATCCAGTGGTGGTGTAACAGCTGGTACTACTGACCGCCGTGTACAGACTGACTCTGGGGTGTCAGCGATTAAAACCGCACCGCTTATCAGCGCTCCCATTGGAGCCCTCTCCTCCAAACCAGCCATCATGAAGTCCACCACCGTCCAGCCTAACACCGTCGGGCCTGAGTTCATCCTCAGCAACGGCCGGGTTGATCCTCTTGGAGATGTCACCATCTCAACCACCACATCCACAACACCTGCAACTGCAATGACCTCAACGGCAACAAACACGCGCACCACAAAGCTACCCGCCACCAACCCATACCAATGGGTACGCCCGTTGCACCCCGCCCGGGCTGCCACCCCAACACCCCAGCACCACACCGCGGCCAGCCTGTACTCTTGGATGCTCTTTGGCAGGGACATGTTTCCTTGGTTGCATTTATTGGATAATCAACATCAGTAACCCTCTGCTGGAAACTATCTAAATGCACTCCTGTACTCACCCAACGTTGACCCTGATCTTCTGACCTGGCTGCTATAGTTGAACTACCAACGATCACAGATAGAACCAAAGTAATCACAACCACAGCCACAACCTTTGTGAAAATACTTGCTTCATCCATAAAGACAAAGACTTTTCTCCCAATTGAGTTTTGATCTGTTTTAGTTTTGAACCGTAAGACTGAATTTTAGTTTTGAACTGTAGAACGATGAGATATTTGAGTTTTGATCTGTAAGACTGAGAGATATTTGAGTTTTGAACTGTAAGACTGAAATGTTCGAGTTTTGATCTGTAAGACAGTGAGATATTTGAGTTTTAATCTGTGAGAGTGTGAGATATTTGAGTTTTAATCTGTAAGAGTGTGAGAATTATGAGTTTTGATCTGGAAGACTAAAATATAAGACTGCGATATTTGAGTTTAGAACTGTAAGACTGAGATATTTCGCAATTTACTAAAAGTACGATTTTAAAACAACGTGACTCGACTGCTCGTCTTGTCCTAGCCTTGATTCTAGTGACTCCATTGCTCGTCTCGTTATGTCCTTGATTCTAGTGACTCCCATGCTTGTCTTGTCCTAGTCTTGATTCTAGTGACTCCTGCTTGTCTTGTCCTAGCCTTGATTCTAGTGACTCCTGCTTGTCTTGTCCTAGCCTTTATTCTAGTGACTCCTTGCTTGTTTCGTCCTAGCCTTGATTATAGTAACTCCCCTGCTTGTCTTGTCCTAGCCTTGACTCTAGTGACTCCTCTGCATTGCTTATCCTAGCCTTGATTCTAGTGACTCCTCTGCTCGTCTTATCCTAGCCTTGATTCTAGTGACTCCACTGCTCGTTTCGTCCTAGCCTTGACTCTAGTGACTACTCCGCCTTGCTTATCATAGCCTTGATTCTAGTGACTCCTCTGTTCGTCTTATCCTAGCCTTGATTATGGTGACCCGTCTGCTCGTCTTGTCCTAGCCTTGATTCTATTGACTCCACTGCTCGTCTTATTCTAACTGTTTTTAAATTCTCTATATTACCTTGGGTTTTGTTAGTGCCTGAGTGGCTATAACAAAAATCTTCGGACGACTAATTGACCCACATTCCGTTAAACTATGAAGCTGAAATTTTGCACATAGACTTGTTGCCAATGACACCATATTCTGTAAAATGTTGAGCTACCCCCCTCCCCCCAACAACAAGCCCCACAAAACACCATTTTTCAAGGGAAACATGAAGGAAAGATGATGATTTGATTTCACGAAATAAAATTCCCGATAAACGCACTAAATTAGATTCGTAATAATATCACAAATGCGTTTCGTGCGTAATACTCTTCTGTTGTTTTTTTTTTTTTCTGAAAGAAGTTTGTGAAATAATTTTGCGTTGTAAAAGCGAGTGGGTCATTAGAAAAATTATATATTTCAAGGGAATGTAGAAAATGTGCGTTTGTGAGACTGGGGGAGGGTGGTTTGAAGCACTAATTGGTATTCTTATAAAGTACGGTAGTTCCATGCTTGTTTTGTCAAATTTTCAGGCGCCCCCGCTCCCTCCTCCAAATAGCTCGATATTACATTTTGTAAAGGATTTATACGTAAAACATTGTCTTAAGGGGCTTTTTAATGAACACATCACTTCTTCTTCTTCTTCTATATCTTAAGGGCCCACGATCAATTTATTGATCATTTTGGCTCCTATGCATGTAGATGGGATTTGCAATGTTTCTGTTACTGGTGGTGATGAGGAAATTATGCACTAGGGGTTTGAAGGCTTAAGGCAATAGACACAAATGTGTCTAGTGTTGTCGCCTCAACTGTTCCTTTTGAAAGATGGTTCCAGTCCCTGATTGTCATGGGAAGGAACGAGCAGCTCCTATTCTGGCTTCTTGCTGGTATGAGCCTGAATTGCCTGTCATGGCCTCGTCGCTGTCTATGGGGGAGAGGGACGAGTTTCTGTTTAATACTGGAACAGTGGACCAGCCCATTATTTATCTTGTACATCATGGAGAGTCTGGATTGTCGTCGTTGTTTCTCCAATGGTGACCAGCCAATGGTGACTTACTAATGAAGTAGTCTTGCAAATAAATAGTTGGAATTCAAAATATTAATAAGCATTGCTCGTTTGTAACAACTACAAATAAAGCTTTTGTAGGATCACATTTAGGATAGACAATCCAATACAAATAAAGCTTTTGTAGGATCACATTTAGGGTAGGCAATTCAAATTGCCACAAGTTTTTTTTTTCCTGGTGGATCCCCCATTAGTGCAGATGGATGAAAAAATAGAATGCCGGTATGCGCCAAAATGCATCCCTGCAGTTTGAAAGTATCAAAGATTGTTTTCCCCATCACACCCTACCTTTTGTCGCCGCCCACTCCATCCCCAGCCAGAGCTCCAGTACCGGCGACCTTTGACTTTTAGAATATGTTACAATATATTCATATTTATTGTTTCCAGCTTGTTCGATATTAAGATGTTTAAGATAAAAATAAAAATAACAATTTAATCATAATCAATTTTATTTGTTGCACTTATTATTTTAGTGTAAGAGCCTTTTTTTTATAGAATATTTCCCTCCCCCTCACCCCAAACTCAACTTTTTCCGTCAAACTCTGGCTACGCTACTTTTGTTATCACATGAGAAACGGCCTAATTAGAGTGTCCACTAGGACAGAGAAACGGCCTTATAATTAGCACGCCCGGTACTTTTCAAAATAATCACGAGATGCTAAATCTTTCTGTCTTATTCAAAATTATATGTAACTAGCGAGTACCCGGCATGCGTTGCAATGCCACTCAAAGAAAGAAAGTGTTTGCATGTTAATTATTTTCTTCAAGAGCTTTTAAATACTCAACGTTTTTCTTGTTTTTCCATCTGGTATATACACGAATAAATCAGAAGATTTTCCGACGCGAGAGCAGGCCACATACATCTGTCTATGGCCGAAGCATGGGTTTTCCGAATTTAGTCCGCAAACTTGTAGCGATTGTCCCTGTGCTTTGTAGATAGTCATTGTAGACGCGTGTCGCATCGGAAACTGTAGGCGTTTGAATTCAAATGGCATATCTGTTGGAATCATTGGGGTGAATGGCAAAAGTACATCACCTAGTTTAAATTTTCCATTTAAAATAGTAACTTCAATGGAACCAATTTCGGAAGATTCATTTGAGCAAATGTACCGTACCTAATGCTTCAATATCAAAGTGCGTTTCTCGTTGCAAATCAAGAGCGAAAAGTTTGTTTGCAGATCGATTCCGAGAGGTCATTCCCAACTCATGAATCATCAATCGATATGAATAGTATTTCATGGCACTGAATTTTTTATTCGAATTTCTCAATTTTATGTCAAAATGATATCCATCTTCTCCTTCCCAAAATAAAATAGGATATTGCAATCAAACGTATGAGCAATGAGTTTCTGAGACTCACTGAACATCCCCACTTCTGCGATGAAGAATTATATCACGTGAGTTAAATTCTTTGCCAACTATAATGATCGCCACTTAATCAATTGTTGGTGCATTGTATTGTCTTTCATGTTGGCCGACAGGTGTTTAGTCTGCTCTAAATACCGGTATGACTTTGTATTCATCATTCGGCATCTTTTCAAGTGCAATTCTATACATTTAAATTAATTCGTTGTGTTGCAAAAATAACGTTTGCATTGCAGCGACGATTTCTCGTTTAGTGCCCGTATTGATATGACAACGTTGATCGATTTATTCATCAGTATTCCCCATGAAATCATTTGAAGAAATTTGTGATCTGTGTTTGGCATTGGCATCAGAGATCCAACACGATGGTAAATTTGGCCTTGCACTTTACTTAAAATGTTGGCATGTAATTCTCGCGCACGATATTTGTTGCACCCAACGATGTCATTTGGAAACATGAATTGCACTTGCGTATGTTTGCCAAGAAATGTTTCGATTGGCTTGTTTCACCTGATTCCAACGTTGATAATGGTTCCGATTGTGAATGTAATTCTGGCAATTTCATTTTCCCATCCGCGCAGCAAATTTCCGGTGTTTCGTTTTTAAATTTGAGGGCGCTGCAATACACGCATAATTGATCTATTTTTCCAATAACCACACTTGGATTAAGACTGTAATCATAATTAGCATCGTAATTGAATGTACTAAGATTTAATTCAGCGTGCAGTGTTCGTCTGGATCGAGCAGTGCGTACTCTAACAAAGTCCAGTCTTGTTTCTCGCTGCTCGAATGATTCAGACAAACGGGTTTCAGCATTGCTTACTCGGCCGGTGTTGATTCTTGGTTTCTGTTGCTCGACTGTTTCAGTTGAACGGTATTGAGCGTTGCGTACTCGAGTGGATTCTAGTCTTGCTTTCCGTTGCTCAGCTGTTTCGAAAGATCGGGACCACTTTTCCGTTTGTGCTTGAGATTTAGATTGACCCAAAACTTTTTGTTTGTGTGGCATAATTGATTTGACAGCGAAATTATTGATTTGCGACATCTGTTATTAGCAATGGTATTTCACAATTAACACAACTTGTTAGGTCACAAACAAAATGAAATATCGCTGTTTGTATTTGATTCAATTAATTTACAATATTCCTAACGTTCATAATTTTCACACGTTAGGATCTCCCATCTTTTTACATGAAAACATCGCACAATATACGTTCATTGTTTGCAGGAGATTTCCAGTTGTATAGTTTCTCATTAATTTATAAATCGTAAATTCCAGCGGTAAAAAATAACCATAGTTCAATACCTACGTTGTCAAGTGTGTTATTTAATTACTTGAGAAACCATCGATTCATGTAAAATGTATTTACATAACACAAAAAAACTCCGAAATTATAAGACTCTATTCAAGAAATACTCTTAGTAGAAAAAAAAAACGCGAGTTCGATGTCATATCCGATTCTAAAATGCGTCACAAAATTCAAGCTTATTTATACAAATAACAAAAACACTCTCAATACTAAAAATGTAAAAACGTGTTTTCTCTGCTTTACTACAAATTTGTAATTTGTTCAAGGTCGGTAGTGTTGATATCTCCGTTATAAATTATATTGATGAAGCTCATTTAAGAAAATAAATTGAATTTAGGGTCCCCAGCCCTAATTGGAATATTGTACAATGGCTGTACTAAATTTGAAAAATTTGCCGGCGGATTCAGCTACTTCCACACATGCAAAAGCTCTGTTTGAAATTATAGTTACAAAGCTCTTAGAAGAAAATATGAAATTAGGGTCACTGGCCCAAACGGAATATTGTAAAATGTTTTTTCTAATTTAGAAAGATTTTCGGTAGTGCGCATTTCACTTGACCCAGTTTGATCACAATCGAATGAATGGTATATAAATGCATCGGTAATTATATAGATAATAGAAGTGTGGAAAACGAATTTAGGGCCCCCCTCCACAAATGGAATATTGTAGAATTGTTGTATTACTTCAGAAATCTACTTAATATGTCACACACTCAATTTAATATCACTATTTGTATTTGATTAAAAAGCTATCCATTCATGCATTAGCTCTGTTTGAAATTATAGTTGTACAGCTTGAAATTATAGTAGAATAGCTTATATAGAAAAAACGAACATAGGACCCCTGGCTAAAAACGGAGTATTTTAAAATGGTTGTAATCATTTAAGAAACCTTTGCGGGCGGGCGCACAACATCTCTCTAAAATTGTATCGCATTGTAATAATGTAGATGAGCGCATACGGAAATTATTTTTTATAAAGCTCCTAATGTAAGAAAAAAACACGAATTTGGGGCCAATTGCCAAAAAAAACGGAATATTTTAGTAGGGTTATAATGGCTTAGAAAAATGCTCTGGCTTATGGACAACAACTCACCTCAGTTTTATCGCAAGCGCTTGAATGATGTAGGAGCGCATGCGGTTTGAAATTATATTTATATAGCTCATTTTTTAAGAAACAAACATAGGGCCCCTGGCTCAACACTGAATATTTTAAAACGGTTGTAGTAATTTAAGAACCTTTGTGGGTGATAGAACAACATCTCACTAAATTTTTATCGCATTCTGAAAAATGGTATAGGAGCGCATAGAAAATTATTTTTTACAAAGCTCATATAAGAAAAAATATGAATTTGGGTCAACGGCCGAAAACGGAATATTTTAAAAGTGTTGTAATGAATGAGTAAAATGGGTATGTTTATAAATAACAACTCTTCAAAGTTTTGTTGCAATCGCATGAATCGTGCAGGAGCGCATAAGTTTTGTAATTATATTTATATAGCTCGTATAAGAAAAAAACCTAAATAGGGCCGCTGGCTCAAATTGAAATATTTTGAAAACTTTATAATAATTTAAAAACCTTTGCGGCCGTGCTTTCAACACCTCACCAAAGTTTTATTGCAATCGGATAAATGGCGTAGGAGCGCATATGGAAATTATTTTTTACAAAGCTCATATAAGAAAAAATACGAATTAAGGGCCAACGGCCGAAAACGGAATATTTTTAAAAGTGTTTAAATAACACAGTAAAATGCACTGGCGCATGGACAACAACTCACTTAGTTTTGTAGCAATCGCATGATTGGTGTAGGAGCGCATACGGTTTGAAAATATATTTATATAGCTCATATTAGGAAAAACAAATATAAGCCCCTTGGCTCAAAACTGAATATTTTAAAACGGTTGTAATAAATTAGAAACCTTTATGAGCATGCTTGCAACATCTCACCAAAGTTTGTCGGAATCGGATAAATGGCGTAGGAGCGCATGTGGAAAATATTTTTTACAAAGCTCACAGAAGAAAAAAAAATGAATTAAGGGCCAACGG